GCTTCTCTTCGTTATCTTTCTCATTTGCACGGTTACATTAAGTGAATATTCGTTTTTTACAATTTACAAAAACTCAGTTTTGCATTATGCTGTTTTGATCGAAAATGGAAAAAAAATTTCTCTTTCAAACAAAGGATTTAATACATTTCAAGAGAAAAGTACTGTTAGAAAAAACGGCAAAATCACAACAGAGGGTTTAAGAATCACTTATGCATGAGTGCAGTTACTGATTAATTTAACTTACATCTTGTTCGGATATTTAAGTCTCAGTTTTAAAAAATTCCTTTTATTTTTTCAAAGTTATGGACTTTAAATTGCAGAGCAGTTTACAGGCCTGAAGGAGGGATTGAACACTTCAAGGTTGAGAATCAAAGGACCATTTCTTCTGTTTAGCTGGGTAATACTAATTCGACAGCTATTGATTGAAAGTATTTAAGACTTTTATACCAGAATACTAATAATAACGATACTAATCAAAGGACAACAAGCAGTGGTTCTCATTAATGATTTAGTTCACGCGATTTCAGATCCTTGACTCCTTTGTAGTATCTCATTTGTCTCGTAATATCGGCCTGATTCGGTTGTCGTTTTAGCTGTCTGCACAATTCGGGATGTGGGTTCATTTTCGCCTCGCCATGCTTTCACTTTAGCAAATGTTTCAATACCGAAGAGTATTGTCAGTGCCACACATATGATCTGGAATAATTTTCGAATCGTGTTTAAATATATCAAGCAAAGTAACAATAATTATCACTAAGTCGTTAAAACTATCAATACCTTGCTATTTTAACTTATTTTAAGTCACAGAAATTCCTACAATTATTGAGGTGTAAAAAAAATCGTACTTCAGAAAATATTGGATCTTTTATGTTCTTTTCATTCGGCATCCTCAATATTTTTTAAAAATAAGCTTACTGCATCAATAATAGCAGGGCCACGTCCATAATTTAGCCAACCCGCCGAAAGATGTACCATAAGCCATACTGCTATGAAGAAGAATACTGCTGAGATACCATAGAATATAAGCTCCTGAAATTTTGAAAAAGCCAAAATAAAAATAAATTTACTGCATCGATAATGCAATTTGTAACCGTTTAACTTTAAAATGCCAAACGCATCAATTTGTTAGCCAGGTTTTTTTTTTAAAACGTGTCCTAAAAAGAGCTGACTGGATGTGCCTAAAAGACTTTTTAAAGCTGTTTGTCAAGTTAGTCTTGAGAGTTATGTTTTTTCTCCACGACTTTTGTAATAGTTTTTATCTAATCAATAACTCACTTAAGATCTTCCAAAAAACATAGTTCAGAACTCAAAAAATAGTACCGTGACAATGAGTCCTTCTCTGGTGGGTTCATCCTTAATCGTTAAATGTGGAAAGCAAACGTAGCCGATTAGCAGTCCGGAAATGATGAGTGTAGCTGCGAGTGAGATATGTTCAGTCCAAGCTGAAGTTGTGGAATTACGATCTGCACAGATTGCCAAGACGAATGATGCAAACGATAAAGTCTGTAATTTTATTGGTACACATTCACGCTGAAACTGGAGCCTTTCAACGGTGTCATATGTTTACGTGGCGTGATAAATGCGCTTTTATGCGATAAGCCTCTAGCAAACATAAAATTAGATTTGTTGAAGTAAATCGAAGATAGAGTAGTTAAAGCCTCGATAGATGATATAATTCACAATATGAAACACTTTAAATCGATTTCTTAGAAGTGGGAAATTTAAAGCATAAGAAGAATTATGCATAAATTTTTCTCTAGGATTCTCCAACTTTTTTAAGGCATTTTTGTTTCTGTCTTCCTGCCAGCGAAAGGAATAATACCTACAATTTCGGCAATTTTCATAGCGCCTGGAATAGTAGCAAGGAATACTACATTGAGCTGCCCTTGACGATTATCCGGAATTATTTGTATTTTACTAGACATATCAAATTTCAAACGTCGCTTTTGCTGATGATGTTTTGGGCTGTAATTTTAAAATGATCAATTATTATATTATGTCTTTAAGAAATGATGCAGAGGAGAATGATTAGAAAAATCAAGAAAATGCTTACCACCGATAGCACTCTAGCTCTTTTCCTTCTAATTATAATGTTCAACTTTAAGACTATGACGCAATTATACCATGAGCAAATAAATAATCAGGTGTATATGCTTGTTGATATCGAATGCTTGCCTGCTCAGTTATATTAACTTCAGAAATCTTTACATAATTCCGAGATAATCAGGTGGTGAGTAGAAATTGTCTAAATTATCGAAAGAATCAAAATGAGATTAGCTGCTAACTGCTTGCTTCTTGTAAAACTTGTGGAAACAGTGGAACCTGGATGGCGCAGGTGTTGAATATGAAGGAGATGACTGTGGTCCACCGCGGGCTTGATTGGCAACATTTATTGCTACATTTCCCACAGGTGTCGCCTCGACGGTTGCTGTTAGATTCTGTTCTCGTTGCTGGTGTTCGAAATCTTCTTTCAACATCTTTAAATATTTATCAGTGATAGTTTATAGATCTTTTTGGTGACAAAAATACCACGTTTTACGACTTTATTATAGTACTATGTAGAGAGATATGGTGTTATAGACAAATGGATGTGAGAAAAAGAGTGCAATTTGGTAAGATTAGGTTGATTTAGTATGAAAATTTCAATGAATTGTAGCAGCTAAAAAAAATGCACAGGCAAAAATAAGTATTATACCATACACTTAACCCTCTGCTGTACTAAAAACATTTTTAGGTCTGTTTTTTTTTCTTCACCAATTGCTATTGCGGTTTCAGTATTACAAATATTGTTTCATTGTTTGCTGTTTCTTCAAGAACTAGTTCACAGAATTTAGGTTTTATTTTTGTGTACAAATTTAGACCAGGACAGGGATGAATATTCATAAACAAGAAAGTTAGCTGTAAGTTTAGTAACAGTGCAATTTTGGTTAGGTTTGTATTATTTAAAAAAAAGAAAATTTATAAGGTTTTGGAATTAATTTATGGAATTTCGAATTAATTTATGGATTCTTGAATTAATTTACGGAATTAAATGAATAAAAAGGGAATTTAAAAAAACCCCTCCCATTTTATTCTTCTAGATTAAGACTTTAGCATATACCAAACCGAAGTATGAGAATGTCGGAGAAAGCGTAAATCAAATTTCAGAATTTCGAACAAACACAAAATGAGAGTTCCATAATGTAAGAGAAGTTACAGTAGTCGATTATAGAAAAATAAATGCAAATTATCGAACGAATGCGATAAATTAACTTAAAATCTCAAATTAGGAGAGATGTCACTGCTGTGTCTCAATTTGAATTTGTTACATTACAAAGACTGATTTATCTAGATAAGATGCATTTCTAGAATTTGTCAGCAGTTAGATCTATATTCTTTTCATTCCTATTGATTTACATTGGTACTGCTAAGATGCTTGAAAACTTTTATGTCCATAAAGCAGAATTAAAATGTTAGAAGTAAGTTCTGGAGTAAGGGACAGGTTGGAAGAGTAATGAAAGTAATGAATTGGTGTCTAGAGTTGTTGTAACGGAACCAAACCAAACGTTGCGGTATAAATAAACTGCGAAATTTTGGACAGAAATGGAGCACACTGCAAAGGGGCGGTTTGATAGTGGAATGAGCGATTTTTGACGAGAAATGAATTAAAATATATAGAAATTCTTCAGTTTCCCCATGATAACTAACAATGACATTGCACTAAACAGGAGGTGTTGGGAGAAGCAAAGATGGGAGGTATAGGCCATGAGGTGATGGAAGCGATGGGCGGGCGGATGGGGTGTATGGTGGAAGAGAAGATGGAGTATACACGGGTTTCTTTCTAACTTTAAATACGCTATTAAGAAATATTATGGGAAAAAAATAAATAACTATTAAAAGAAATTATAGTGATATTGGGTAACAGATCCATTCAAAAGAAGAAAAAGAATTGAGCTTTCGGTTCGATACTTTTTGATGCACAGTAAGAGATTTGAACTAAGATTCTTTACATGTTTACAAGGACCAGTTTCTTGCATTGCAAACAGCCAGCAAAAAATTTGTCATTTATGTTCACTGTGTTTTTTTTTTCTTCAACCTTTCGTCGTCTAATCGACTATTGGTTAATAATTGCGTCTGAGAATTTTTTATAGCGCAGGAAGAGAATAAAGCAAAAGAGTCATGTATTTCCCATGTTCAACCTTTGTTTTACTTGTTTATCAAGGACAAAGAATTCTCTTTTTGAAAGGAAACATTCCTTCATAAATTTGGAGAAGCGGAAGGAAGTATATTGTATGACGGGACTTCACATATTACTGATTTCAAAGTGTCTTTGCAAGTTTATTCTGTTAGAAGAAAGAGTATGAATATTATAAGTTTTCTATAGAAAAGGTTAGACCACCTAAGAAAACTTTAGACTGGATATGATCTCAAGGACCACTTGTAGTATGAGGATGTAAAAAGGAATTGAAGAGAAAAAGCAGCATTTAGCACTTCATTTCACTTAGCTTCAGTGCCAAACACGAAAATTAAGATCAAAAGAAAAAATTTCCATCAAACTCTACTGATAGTATTTGCGAAAAAGTTTGTGTTTTTATGTGTGGTCATTCAATTCTATGTTAATACAACATTCGGTAAAATATTTTTATAGTCCATCAACTGATTTCGCTATCAGTGAATAAAAGCTCTGATGGGAAGTTCTACCATGGTTCAAAAAAAAAAAAACAAATTCAACAACGGCAAATTTTTTAGAAATTAAACACTCAAATTCATATTGTGCTCAGTGATGGCGTAGTTTTAATTGTGGAAATAGATGTAGATATGTGATTTCTGTCGAAATTAGTTAATTAACAAATACAGAAATGAGTCAAGAATTCACAAATGCTGTTTTAAGATAATTAGTATGACAATAAAGGGAATGGGAGAAGCGCAGATTAGATGCAAATAAATATAAAATAGGCTTCATATCTTGCTTTTCATTTCAGCTTATCTTAAAAGTGTTATTTTGTTTACTGCTTTACTTTTCACTACAATCGTACTATTATTTCTGACATTGATAATGATATCAGTTGTGCTGTTGTTTACTTCGTATTTATCTGTTTCATTAGTGGAGTAATTATTTGAAAATTTGGAAGAATGTACCAACGGGGTGATCAATTTTGAAATGTAGCGAAAGTATCCATTTTTTTCCCTACCTGCGTCAAAGAAAAAACATGCATTGACAGAAATTGTCTTCCACAGATAAATTAGTTCTTAATTAAATGATGACAGTGAGCTGAAAAACACTATATAATAGTGTCACGAACTTTGTTTGGAATATTCCTTTATATAAAATATCGAAGTTTATAATCCGGTAAGTTTGTAACATTCAAGCGGATTGTATTTTGATAACCTACACTTTGAATAATATGAATCATATGATAGAAATGAAATAATATTGGTGAAGAAATAAAGATGTAAACGAAGTAAAAAGCAAATAAACAGTTAAATTCAATAAACATGATCACGTTATTAATATTATTTAACCACATCAAATTGCAAAATGCATTGTATGTATTTAATTGAGTAGAAATAGAAATAACTTGCCACCCGATTAGCAGTCTCTTTCCACCGCATTTCTTTCCATTATTCTCTTCCCCTTCTATGTTATTTTTGATCCGCCTTATTTACTAGTTTTTACTATTACTGTTATTAGTACTACCATCAATACTATTACTACTACTGCTACTACTAACTAGAATATAATTATAATGAAATTTTGCAATAGCTCGTTATTACACTTTGAAATTCTGATTGTGAATTCAATATATGAAAGAGTTCTTCTAAGGTAAAAGAGGGACCGGATGGCGAAAGTAGAGTTATTGGAAAAGACGAACGACCTTCATTTTATAGAAGCAACTGATTATGTCAAATTGAGTTTAAAAAACTGCAAAATAACTTTATTTTGATTCCGGAGAATACTTTGATGGGAAGATTTTACAGTTAGGTAAGGGTAAAAATAAAAAATTGTATAATTTGCAAGAAATGTTGATACTAATTATTAAGTTTTGCTGATAACTCCCTTCCTTATTTTATTCCCGCATTAGGTTCTTTTCAGTGAAATCAGTGGATACGATATGAAGAATTAATGCAAAAAAGATTTTAGTTAAATAAATTTCTTTATTTTCACTACCATTTGGAATATTTTTATATTCTTAGTTGTTAGAAGTTTAAGTTTATGTTATGAAGAAATTTCAGAGGTCTAATTATACTATGAAAACAAGGGATTGTACTCATAATAGTCCTTTGAATCCTAGTGGTCATGATTTTATTCATAAAACTATTAATGTGAAAGACAGCTCAAATTTACAGACTAAAACATTAGTTCGAAAATAAAATGAAGATTAATTAATTGAGCTAAATCATTTGATTACCAAGGATTTGATCGTCGGCGAGGTTTGACAAGCAATTGTAGGACAAGTCATGCAATATTTTCGCATTAATTTTCATTTCACCTTACCTCTGTTGTTTTTAATTTGTTCTTACAAGATATATATGTTGGTGAGCAATTTAAAAGTAATTTCTTGTATACATTGAAACTGATGATTCAAGAAATGTATATTCTTCTGCTCGTGAGACGACTTGCTGTGGTTGTCATGAAAGGACGCACGATGAGACTCGTAAAATATTTCTTTTATTCATTCATTGGTTACTTCGTTGGTAGTGCTATTATAGATAAACAATGAAAATGTATAAAGAATAAGTTTGTGAAAGATTTGGGATATCCTTGTTGACGTGGATGTGACGGAAATGATAGCAGTGAAGGAAAATTTGTAGTAGTAAAACTAATGGTGTCAACAGTAATGACTATAAGATACAATAGAGACTGGTAAGTAACCTAAATATGTCATTAAAACATGAAGGTAAGTAGTGAAATCTATGGCGATAAAATGGGATGATAAATGGCATGTTTATCAGATGAATTATTTTTGTAGGTCTGGTTTTTTCATGTAAAATTCTGGAGATCTATTCTAAATTGTTTTATTACTCGAATTTCTCCTTCTTAACTTATTTGCTAGAAATTATAATTGAATGGAAGATTTCAGTGTGAAAGAAAGGTTGTAATAAGAAAAGAGATATTTAGAACCGTTGATAGTCCAAACTATCTAAAAAATCTAAGTCTAAACTAAAAATTAATTAAACTGAATCGTTTGATTATTCTATACTTTAAATGTCTTTGAGGAATCCATTCACGATTTACGGTTTGTCGGCGTAGGAGAAAAAAAAAAATTTCTTCACTGATCAAGGCAGTTCACAACTGTGAACTGTGAATTGCCGTTGTGAAGAGAGTTGTGTTGATGATGGTTCATTCTGAGACTGATTTGCTTTGTTTCATTTGATTTCTCACGTAGATATTGGTGTTCATGATCTTTACGGTAATATGAAGTGATGATAATAAGATAACAAAGATTAACGAAGTGGCAAACAAACCGAGTCGATTTCCGTATAAAATGAACGAATTAACCTTGAAACAGAAAGTCATTTGCAAAACGGTGTATATGTACTATTGTGATGATAATGACTAACTGATTTAAAGAAATGTAATCTCTAATAAGACAAAGTATACTATCGATTGAGTTACGTTTTGTTCAAGGTCCATCTGAACGGGAGGGAAGAAGTTAGTACGTTACCATGTTGTCATCATATAGTGGTGGCATCCTGTACAATTATCCTAAGCATAGCAAATTTTCTTCTTGATCTCGATCAGTTGCACAAAATAGTTTCGGAACAGTTCGAATGGAGTTAAGTACTAATATAAAGCATTTGTTGGATTTCTAAAGAATTTTATATATAATGAGGATAGAAGCGGTGTAAAGGAAAACAATGATTAAAAAGAGGACTTCAAGAAATTGCCTATGTATAGCACACGTTATTTACTGTTTACAATGTGAATGAATGAAGAAACAAAATGACAGATAAAGAGGAAGTATGAATTATTCTCATTTTCATAGTATGGGCAGTTTCTGTTGTCCAAATGGTCAGTGGTCTCCGTACCTCATTACCTCATTCATTTCTATCTCCGAAAGCTATTATGCATATGAATCGTCCCAATGGTCTTTTCTATTCTCGTGGCCGGTGATCTAAAATTGCCGAAAATAATTGGTGAATGAACTCATTTCCTACTTTCTGGGATGCAGATTAATACAGGATATATTTCAGTAGATGAAAAGTGCAAATAAACATGATTTTTTTTTTTTTTGTTGCCAGTGAATATTTTTTTGGATAAGAATGTTGGTTGGCAGATCGGATACCCAAACATTCTGAATTGGAAAAAGAGAAAATGAATCAATAGTGGAAGATATCAGTATAATTGTTAGAAGAGTTTCTCTTTTCGATCACCCAATATTGCTATTCAATTTATTTGGAGTCGATAATCCTCTTACAGAGAAATTTTACCAGTTTTATTATCAATTTATTATGCTTGTATTTAAAATGTGATTAAGCAATGTTTGTTAATTGGTGTTGGTGATAATTTATTGAGAAATTTGCCTTAAATTTAATATCAATGATAATATCACGTATAAGTATTAATATAGCATCAAAAAGCAAAATCAATAATTGAAGCTCAACCCAATCGTTCTACGTTCTTCTAAATTCTGCACTTTTTTATTAAATGATAGTGATACATGAAGGTTATAAGCAATTTGCCCTTTCATTTATTTTTTATAAGAAGGTGATAGAAGAACGACCGAAAGGATGCACACGTATACCCCCTCTTCTTACATTATTCAGTTCCTTGAACCGAAAAAATTGGCAGCAGTTTTTCAATTTTGAAATGATAAAAAACATTTGCAAATAACTAAAATTTCGAGAATACAACACAATATATGAGTGATCTGGGAAGAATGTTTGTATATAGAAAATGGAAGAAGCAAGAAGATGAATAATATTTTCGGCGAAACATAGCAAAAACTTTGCTGTTTTAATCGTTACAGTAGTGATTTTACATTTTATGATTTTACGCGATTTTTATTTAAATTATATTAATAATATTACCTTATTCATTGTTATTAATGATTTAATTTGACATTTGCTAGTTTAAAGCTATTTTTGCTGCACACACAAGTTAAATCTGAATAATGTAACGCATTTAATAATTAACATTATTGAGAGAGGAAAATTAGATATCTATATATAACAAACTTGAAGTTATTTTAGTGTATTGGTCCATCCGAGTTAACTCTCAATAAAAAAAATAACGAGGCGTTAAAGGTCAAGGATTGTTGAACGTGAAATTAGTGGATTCAAAAAAATAAATAAATGGAATCAATGTATGGAAATGATGTCAGTTTTAGTAACGTTGGAATTTTGGGTAATTAGAAAGGGAAGAAATTAGTAACTTCATACCGTTTATGATTAACTGATAGTTTGCCATTTTTATGGTTGACTGACCTCTTACGGAATTGTTTTCCCACTATTTTGAGCTTCCTGTAAAATTTATAATGATCAATAACCGTGAGAGTTATGCAGCTGATCACTGATCGTTTGTTTATGAATTATTTGTTGTCAAGTGATGGTTGAATTGATTTTAGCTGCTCGACAAATAGCATTAGATATTGAGGTAGTGAAACATTTCAGAGAGTGTCACGCCATTTCTGTAATGTTGATACCGGTTTTTGTCATTGCAAATGTACACTGTCAACTTATGACTTATGGCCGTTTAATTCCTTTGGTCTTAAATAACATAAAATTTGAGAATAGAATTTATTATTAAGGGGCTGTGTATGGACTGATTTCAACTTGCCTTCATGAATCCCATCATTTGAGGAAGGTTCGACCTTGCATTTGTAATGATAATCAATGAATTACCTCTTTGAACAGTTGATGTTATCGACGATCACTGTGAATGAAAGGTGGACTGCGAAATCCATCTCTGAGAAAGATTACATTTCAAGAAAGAAAATGAGATTACCTCATACTTCTAAGGTTTCTGGAGAATAACAGAAAATTTGATGTTTTCTCGCTGTCGTTTTTGTCTTAATGTTGGCTAATTTGATCAAATTATTTTGCGCTAGAGATATTTCAGATTCTAAAAAAAATTGAACTGAGAAAACTGATGTGTGCTAGTGAAATCTGATGATACATGAAGTTTTTGTGGAATTAGTGAACTGCTACATTTGCTTTTACATTTTTCCTCTATTTAACAAAAAAAATCTAGAAAATTTTTTTTTTTCTTGTTGCAGCAAGAAGCCGAACAGTATGGAAACGTTGAAGAAGTACAGTTATTACAGCAACAGATTGATGATTTGGAAGCAAGAGCCGCCGAATTGGTAGCCTCTTGAAAATTTTTTCATTTTATTTTGGTGCAGTACTAAATAGTCTATTGAAACAGAAAAGCTTTTGTTATCCGTACATTTAATTGTCCTATATGGAATGTTCAAGTCACTAATAATTGAAATTATAAACAGAGCAGATTGTTTTAGCTTTAAAATGATCATATTGCAGGAACGACGTCGTTCACAAAGTATCCGTGGTATTAGTTGGATAAATCAACGTAACAGACAGGCCATCAAAGAAGCTATTCTCAGTGGTCAAATACATGTTGAAACTTCCAGTCAAGATGATCCGTTCACTCGGAAGAACGCGCGAATGAAGGTTTTCATTTTGATTGACATTTGATACTTCTCAAAAGCATTACTTTTTTATACAAATTGATTTGTTACGATAGCTGTAGTTACGCATGATGTTCGATATTATGAGAATGTTGAGTATGCGATTGCTGCCCAGTTATTGCCAGAACATGATTAATATCAACAAATATAAATAATTTCTCTGATTACTAGTTTGTATTATTCACAAAGCATCCATTTCAACTTCTGAATATTTTCAAATTTGAGCCTGTCCCTGGAAGAGATAAAATGACTCAACATTTGAATGAGAAGAGAGATACAAACTACCGCAGTAATGATGGGCGTAAGTTTTTACTGTGCTTTTTGTATTCTTTTTTATTTTAAAATTTTCATCTCACGTTTTCAAAGATTTATTCTTCTGCAGAACCTTTATTAACTATTATTATTTTACCATATAAAACAGGATTTACCTTAAGGGATGATAGATAATAGAAATCGATGAAGCTGTAAAAATATTATTCGTTGGAAATGTACTGTGTAGGCGACTGCAGGAGTATATTTGATACTATTCTTGGATTTGAATCAAAAGATCATTTAGGTCGTTGATGGAGATATCATTTAATTGGTAGATTGGTTAAGAAATCTCTTCTTTTGTATGAGAATTGTCACTCGTGTACCAGTCTATAGAGACCGAATTTCGTTAAAGAAAAATAATGGTTCTCTTTGATAAAACTCCTTATAAAACATCTTTTTTTCTTTAAAATAGCTCTCATGTTAGTTAGAGATTTTACAGCAAGCTCGCAGTCATTGGTTATTGAGCTAAGTGATCAAAAACAGCCATCACCGCAGAAAGGAACTATCAATGCAGGCCCAAGTGGACCTGTTTCGGATCTCTTCAATGCTCATAATTTCGATGTTGATATTGACATTGCCATACCGGGTAAACATCTTTCTTCAGTGGAAACTTGATCAAACAAAGAATTAAAGCATCGAAGTTTCATTTCATAGTCCACTCTTTTAATATTAAATAACAGTTATTGTCAAAAAGATCGACAAACTATCTTTTGATTGCATTTGGTGAGATTTTGATAGCTAATGCTACTGATTATTTTGCAATTAATTGACGAAAAGTTATGCGGAAGTTTGGCATTTTTTAGAATCCTTTAAAATCAAGAGATAATTTCGACTGACAGATTTATAGTTTGTCTTATTTCATCCCATTTTATGAACTATCATTTGGTTTTCAGCGGCGATGGCGCTGTCTTCCAGTGCTCCGTCACTCTCTTCAATGGATGTTAATTCAAGGCACCCTGGTCTTGGCAGTAATCGATCAACAATAAGCAAAGGATCGTCTAGACCTTTAAGTCTCGAAGATTACAAGCGTCGTAAGAATCTTTTGTGAAGGTTTAAGATAAACATATTTTATAATTTGAATTACTGGGCACCTGTTCAAAATCACTTATGGTAGAGCAAGGCTAAAATGATAAACCTTTTTCATAATAAGCATCACTCTACCACTTGCGTCAAATACTCATTGTTTCAAAACAGTTTAAGAAATATAAACGAAATTTGTAGCTCTGTCTAGTAAATCCTCTTTTGCTATTTTCTTCTTCTTCGATATCTCTTAAATTGATTCATAATTGTTTTACTCTGTTAGAAATTTCTACTTTAGGTATTTTGTAATTTGAAGAATTACCACTTATTTTTTGCTATGTTGGTATCATTTGTTTGATCTAAAAGATAGTATTTTTGATAAAAGAGATCAAAAGTAATATATCGATGCCACAATACTTTTGAAATGCTTGATGTTTTAATTCCGTCGGATGTTGATATTAATCTGTTAAAAGATCCGATCGAGGCAAGAACGCTTGTAAGAAGTATAATTGTGAAAAATTATGACTCTAAAAACATGTGGGGATTGATGTCCCAAAGATAGTGATTTCTTGCTCCTAATTAAATTTCTATTCTATTTTTCAGATCACTTATATCTTTATTTTTTGCTTCATAAAAGAAGGAAACAATTGTTTCAGTAAAGCTATAAATTTTATATTTCTTAGACCCTGTTCTTGCTTTAACGATAATCCAGGAGAATTTTTGCATTCATTGAATTTAGGTGAAATGGAATTTCCATCCATTCGATAGTGTTACTTAATGCCATATTGCTTGCTATTACACATTTTTTGGAGCTGTGTATTTTGTTGCTCTTTTTTATGTATATATACTTTTACTGTTAAATTTAGTAAATTTAGCATTACTGCTATTATATTTTGCACTGATGTTGATAGTGATAATGGCAATGTTGCAAATCGTTAATCATTTTGTTAGTATCAATGTTGAGGATTTTGCTGTGCAAGTTTTATTTTATACGGGGGATGCTTATGAGCAGAGGTGGAATGTCCTTTTTCTTCTCCTTTCATTTCCTTTGCTAGATGTTCCAGCCATTTTTCATCCATTCAGCTGTTTTAAGATTCAAATAAATCAACTT